CATTTTGTTCAAAAACAACCTCCCCCCCCCACCCCCCCGCCAATCTCACTTCTGGTATTGGAGCGGGACTGAGAAAAATGAGGTTCAACCAGTGCGGCTTAGTGAGATATGGTAAGGAAGGAGGCAGGAATTTGGTCCTCTCATCTGTTTACACCCTTTTTAATAATATCTGGACCCCCTCACCTCCACTTTACACCTGAACTGGAGGATGTGAATAAATGCAGATGGATTTCATGGTCATGCCAAGCTGGGTTTTTTTAGTTACCATGGACCTGATTTGATAGCTTTACCATGCAATATTAGGCATAATTACCCCCTTATAAAAGCCAGAGTAGACATAACAGTGACCATGGGTCTAACCTTGTGACTGCTGATGCCATTTTAGGGAGGATTTTGGCCATTAAAATGTGAGTGGGGGGATTTTATTCCCCCACACACACCTTTGCAAGATCCAAAAAAGCCCCCATACGGCTCCGAAGACAGCACTCAGATCCATCTCCTCCTAAGGAATGAAGGCATCCAAGAGACAGCAGTAGGAAAGGGTGGATGTGCTTTCGGCCTTGTCCAGCAGGGGTGTTCTTAGGTAACGCTCCCTCCCCTCGGAAAATCCAGCATTTCAGGAGAGTGCAGGCCCTCAACAGCCACAGCTGAGCTCAGCCCCAGAACGAGCTCCTGAATCTCCCCATCCCAGCCCCAGAAGGCCTCCCTCCCTCCTAACCTAGCGGGCTTGAACATTCCACCAAAACAAGAGTTGCCCAGATGGGAAGAGGAAAGGTCCCCTTGCTACCCCTGGCCCATTCCCTTGACCTAACCACGAAGGAAACTCATCAGCAGGCAGCTCAAGTGGGAAAGAAAGAGTCCTTGAGACCTCCCTGAGAAACTCTCCAGCCATTCTTCTTTGCTCTCCACCGTTGTCCCTCTTACATTCCTGGCTTCTTTGGCAGAGAGAGACAGAAAGTGATCATTCTTATATGGGGAAGGAAAGAAATCCAAGGAAGAGGAAAAATTCATCTGGAAGGATGGAACCATGGTCAAAATCAAAGCCCCAAATCCCGATCAGTATAAAGGAGATGGATCCTTTCCTGATCACGGTCAGGCAAGGGCATGTGGTAGAGGTTGGCCACTGAGAAATTGGGATCTGGCCCCTTCCAGAGTCTTTCTAGGGGCTTCTCAGCCCCACCTTGGCCACAGGCCAGGACACCCTCACTGGCTTGGGTGAGGGCCACAGCACTGGCCTCAGTTGCCCCTGGATCAGCCAGGGGGCTTCGGTCACTCTCTCCAGCCATGCTGAACTTCGCTTTCACTGCCATCCCCAAGTCCTGGAGGCCCCCAGTAGGGGGCAAATAGTTGGGCAGGCCTCACAGCCACACTCTGCTTTTCAATATTTTGATTCATGCATCATCCCAATGGCAGCAATTGGCACCTATGGAAGATCCTTACCCAGAGAGGCCACATTCCCATAGTTCTCCAGCATGAAATCCAAGAAGAAGAAGAAGAGGAGGAGGAGGAGGAGATTGGATTTATACCCCACCCTTCACTACCCAAAGGTGTCTCAGAGCAGCTTACAAACTCCTTTCCCTTCCCCTCCCCACAACAGACACCCTGTGAGGTAGGTGGGGCTGAGAGAGATCTTGACAGAAACTGCTCTTTTTCAAGACAGAGATTCGTCTGGCACATGCAGAAAATGACAGCTTTGGAGGGTGGACTCTATGATATCACATCCCTGCATAGGCTCTTGTGTTCCCCAAGCTTCATTCCCCAAATCTCTGGAATTTTCCAGCCTGCTGTCCATGGCCTTCCCATCAGGACTCTCACTGCCACATTCTGGATCAGCTGAAGTTTCTGGGTCAGGCATGAAGCCATAAGGATATTGGGATTATAGCGTTGCCTGCGGTAGGAAAGTACTCAAAGACCGACACCACATCCTGACTTCCAAAGGCTTCTCCCAGCATAACAGCTGATCTACACTCTCCATCACCTACACACAATTAAGAATCTCAAATCTAGGCTTCTCTCAAGGTGAAGCAAAAGAGTCCAACAAGGGCCAGATAACGTGGGGGAGAGGTGTGGCTGTTCGCCCCGGAGCAAAGTAAAGTAACGTGCGGCAGCCCGATCACATGTCCCATGGAGGTACCGTGGGTATGCCGTTAGGCTATGAGGGTCGGCCTCATAGTAGCAGAACTGCAGGAAACATCGGTTGCATATGTCTGCAGTCACTGTGTCCCGATTGAGGATTTCTGGCCCAGCTTTTTCCCAGGATTCAACACCACTCCCAGCCTGGGTGGGATGGTGACTTTTCCTTGATCTCTTGCCTATTCCAGGTCCCTCTGGGTCCTCCTCTTCCATTCTCTTCCCCTTCGCTTGGGTCTTTCTGACTGTGGAAAAATACCCTTACTCAATCGGCTACAAAGAGGAAGAGGAAAGGAAATCAAAAAGCCAGAAAGAAATCAAAAGAGAATGGAGCTACATCACTATCCTTGGTCAAGAGACACTGAAGGGTGGGCCTGGTGCATCAGAAGGCGCCTCATTGTTGCAGTTTTTGGATCAGGATTTCTGTCATTGTGCTATATTATGTATCAAGCTTTGTTAGATTATGCCTGTTTGGTCTTTCAGGAAAGTAAACCCTCTCTGTTTGGCTCTTTAAAAGCCTTTGCGGGTGATATGATCTTGGCTTTAGTGTTGTTTTTTACTATTGTATCATGTCATGAGCCTTTATGTACAGACACTGTTGACCACTGAAGAAGACCAATTTGGGCCGAAATGCATCAGGTCGCAATAGTTCCCTTTTGTAAATGTCGTGTTTTTATGCTGTAATGAAGCCATAGTGGGGCCCATAAACGTTTTGAACCATTTGATAATAAATAATGTATTTCTGATCATATTTAGGTTTTACATATAGTTTTTAATTATTGACTCTACATTGCAGTTAACCTTTTTGGTTTTTGATTCAGTTCTTTTGGGTTAAGTCCAGTGTTCC